GGTGTGATTAGGCCATTATATATCATCAATACTATGCGAGTAGTAACGTGTCGTGTGCGACGCGCTGTAATTTAATGCCAATCTATTTAAAATGTGTATAAATAATGTTTAACGTGTCTTGATCGGAGACTGGAGGGAGTTGGAGCTCTGCAGCTCTATCTGTCTTACTGCACTCTATGGGAAGAATTCATCAACTGGCCGAATAGCGCGGGGGCGCGGGAGCGCAGCGGGGAGCGGGGCGCGGGTCGGCTCACAAGTTTTTGCCCCACGCACAGCAATATAAATCATCCGCCGATGATATCGGAAGCGCTGAAAAACTTGCGCAAACTTTTACAAGTCCCTACACAGGCGAGATTTGCAGGGGGGAAGAGGGGAGGGGATGAGTTGAACATTAATTCATTTGGATGTTGTGTAAATAAAGAAGAGTAAAGCGGCAGTAATGAGGCGGGGAGGGTGAGTGTTTACCGGGGACATGTTTGTAATATAATTGTGAGGATAGATGTAATCGCGATTTGCAGGGGTACCCGCGCTGTGAATTCATTATAATTAATTCGAGAGTGGAAATTACAAAAACTTTGTACTTTGATTTGATTTTGGAGTAAACTAGTTTGATTCCTAAAGACATTTTTATACATCAGTAACACATTAACAATACAATATATTCCCAGTTCCTTGATTAAAGTCAGGGTTGAGCACAAATACAGCATGACATATTTCAACTTCTTGATATTTATCAACACTTTGTGAGTTTTAAAGAAAAAAGAAAAATCTTCTTACTTAAATATTCGGAGGCGAACGTTTTTCCGCGACATTACCGTACGTCGCGACCAATTCCCGGCTCAGCGGCGGCGAGGTACGCAGGGCCGCAGTCTGGTCACGTGGCGGCTACATGTCTGCTGACCCCGCGTTACACACCAGCCAGCGTGTGGACGGCACAATATAGTCACAGCTGCTCGCTATAGAAGCTCTAGTGTACTTGCTGTACGGCTGCGTGTGAACATCGCGGAGGACTCTCTTGCTAGCCATACGGAGCTCCTCACTTCTTTTATATATGTTTTTTTTTAATTTGGCAAATGGGCCCCTCTCACTCACAGCAACGTAAGAGTAACGAGGGCACACTTTTGGGGATTATGGTTTGGGAGTTAGGATCGAGCTTCCAGTAATCTCACTCACACGGCGAAATACAACGCTGTGATTGCTTCACACCGTTTTTCTGTGAGGCCGTGGTAACACTCCGGTTGAGCTGACCCGTTCGTGCTTCCATGACCAAAACCTTCCTTCACCATCTTAACACCGATTGCTTACCATCAAATTGTACGTGTGCTAGTTTGCCAGCCTATCACAGAAAGGGCGTTAAATATAACACCTGAGTCTAACTGTGTGGCGGCATCGTCCATCTGACGGACAATATTCATGAATTACACAAGTCTACGAGCGCCCCCTAGTGTTAATTTTACTACTGGCTGTTGTCTGCACAGCACTGACAGCAAGTATTGTTACTGTGTGCTCAGTAAATGACAGCAGTAATTCGTTACTTTGTTTGCAAACTGTACATTTGTCAAAAAACTTCGTCAACTTTTCAGTGAGCAGCTGGAGTGGATCGCAATTTGTCTCCTCCACGACGCTTTCTTACAGTTTTTTCGAAGAACAAAGACATGGAAGTTGGAAAGTAAAAATAATAATTCGTTAATATTGTTTATGCTATTTAATTTTTCAGGTTTGCCTTGCAGTATGAGCGACCAGCTCCTCCGTAATGTGTTATGGGATCGATTCCTGCACAGAAAATCTCTGTGTGTTTAAGACATTGTTGGGTCTGGATGTGTGTACTTATTCCTTGTTCCCAAAAGGCCAGCAACGCACTCGTAACTCCTTGACTGGTGCAAATGTCCATGGGCGGCGCCGATTGCTTATCACCAGGTAATTCGTTTGCTCGTTTGTCGACTTATCTCATAAAATAACCATGTTCCCTGACTTGGACTAGTCTCACGCGTAAGAACTGTAAGATACAATAAAACGCAGGCCTCGTGTCTGTGTAGGCAGGAGTATATTGTCCTCACTTACTTATAGTTGACATTACACATGACCAGAAGGTGTGAATTAATTTAAAGTACTTGAAAATATTAACATTTTGGTTTTACTGTTGCGTCAATCTATAACACAACAAACAATTTCTAGTACGTCCCGTACTTACTACATCAACTGTTTCAGGCGGCTACTGCGAGATAACGAGCTGTTCCATTGAGACAATGATTGTAAAAAAAAATAAAAAATAACAAATTCACAACTAAGCCTTTGGGTCTCAGAAAGTGAACCGTTGACAGCGTCGTTCTGGAGTGTATCAGGTTAAACGAGGGACATGTTCAAGGACCCGATTCTGCTGCTCAAATAAAATAACTTTTTCCATAAGACCAATATGGAAATCTCGAGAAATCTGCTGTTGCGATTTGTATGGATAAATAAATCTTAGTTTTGGTCACAAACAGCTATACATTGCATTAACCGGTACTATATACTTACATCAAGCGGGTGAGAGGCGACATAAATACACCGTACATTGCTGGTTTTATTGCGCGCCGCGCTCTTACTACTGCACACATACCGCAACGGAACATGAATCTTACCAACTGCTCGTCTGGTGCATTCTACTGTCTCCGATAAGATTTGTGCGTAATTTCAAACAGTTTATTTCATTTACTCGGTAATGTTGTTATTTTTTATTTTGTTACAATTGTGTTTTCAATTATACTTCAAATAATAATAATTTCTTCTGCTGACTTGAAAGTCAATGTATATACAAAGGTATTTAGACAGCAACTGTAATAACTTCAGTAAACTGATGTATAACAGTATCCGCGCAGTACGAGCGGACTCAGTAAGATATCGTGAGCCGGAGGCCGATAGTACGCGTCACTGGTTCCTTACGCACCCTCACTCAAATTAATTTTATTAAAACTCTTCCTTTGCAGAACTGAAGTGAACCATAACCCCTGAACGTAAGAGTGAGTTTACAGTGCGCCGACCTGGCTCCGTAGCACCCTATACATGCAAAGTCTGGGAAGATAAAATAAAAGTGTTCAATATTTTTTTATCATTTATTTTATCCGGTATACGATTTCCATAAACACATGGCGATGAATATATGGATTCTGTACATTCAATATCAAAGTAAATAATAAAATGTATATAATAAAATGTAAATATATATTATGATCTATTAAATTATGTTGGCACCGAGATGCGACACAGTAGTATCGAATGGACGCTAAACACGAACTGAAGAGGACGAGCGACCGCGCGGCCCGCCGCCCGCTTGGACCCGCCGGGGCCCGCGGGGACCCGCTGGGGTCTGCGGGAGCCCGCCGGGGCTTGGGCAACCAGCGGGCCGCGCGGCGGAGGACGACACGTGCGGGGCCGCGGGGCGCACTACCGGCGGAGGCCCACCCAGGTCTCTGCTAGGGGAGCGTCTGCAGTGGGCCTCAGAGAAACATAATAGGCGACAGAGGAGAGAGTCAGAGGTCGTGAGGGAGACAGGGAGATAGAGATGTGAGGGATGGAGACAGGATGTCCGAGAGAGTGACGAAAGACGACAGCCTACAGAGTGGGCGGCTACACGCGACAGAGCGGAGGGAGCGGGACGCGGAGGGTCTACGAGGCTCCTTAACTAACTACATCGAATTCCGCATGGACGGATCATTGTATCATCATCCAGGTACGAACGAAACAACGAGTTTGTAGTACGCGCCTCTATATTACAATTATATTTACTTCCAAAACTCATTGTCCAATTGACGATAAACGCTCAGACATACAAAAATACATCTCGCTACATCTAACCGACTATACTGAGAGACACACGGACGCCTCGCAGTGCGGACGCGGCCGCGCCTATATCACAGGCGGCGCTGGGACGCCCACACGCAACTGAACAACTCAACGTATACACACAGCTACTCCGAGCGGCCAACCTAACCGACAACACTCCCTTACACTACGAGACTGTTGCAAAAACTGTGGTAGCAAATATTATTAGTATCTTGTCCATACAAAAACATCCGACCTAAACGGACGACTAAAATTGACATCGAAATTTACATGATTCAGTTTAAGCTATGATACACAGTATTTATACTTTAAGAATTTGACATCTATATAAAATATATATTATAGCGAGCGCTGGGTGACGCGGGGAGTCGCGCCGCGCCCGCGCCTCCGCGCCGTGTTGAGTTATTGCTAGACATGCCGCGCCCCCGCGCCCCGCCCGCACCCCGCGCCCCCCATGCGCAGGCGCGGCGCGGCTCACACCCGCGTCACCGGAGCCAGCACCCCGATCTAACTCTCACTTACATTACATGTTATAATCTCTTATCATTTGGTGTTCACATTGCACTAGTAATTCACATTCCATTAACATACGAACATAACGTAATAATCGACCATTTATTTATTATAATCCATATAAGAAAATCTATTTTAAATATTAAAAATATCAACAATTTGGCACATTCGATTCCTGTTTATAAATTACGTTAGAAAACAAGAGGATACAGGAAGGTGGAGAGGAGAAACAACTCAGGAGACAAAGATTAGGCCAACACGCGCGCACTGGCGCCACTCCCATTCGAGGCGTGGCGCCACTGCAGGCGTTCTACATACACGAGTACAGACACGCTAGAGTAACCAATAACGTAATACAGTAGGTAGCTACGAAGACTAGAGTAGGAGATAGACCTACAAGTCAGCTCGTCTTGGACGAGTAACAACACATTCACTAGAATGCTATTATAGTTCGCGGCGCCCACACAGGGGGCGCCACTAGTCACTGCACCTGGCTCCACCACACCCACACACAGACACAGCCCTTACAGTACACTCTAGATTACTCACACTGACGCGCACGCGGTCACGTCGCTTGCTCTGCATTTCGGACTCCATAGTGACGACTGTTTGTCCAATTCCTTATTGCAGTGGAACCAGTTCGAGCACAAACACGTTTGATGTAATCAGTGCAGCAGGCGGGCGGCCGCCAGCAGCAGCAGCAGCGGCGGCGCGCGCGGCGCGGCCTCGTTGTGCAGCGCGCGGACAGAGTGGCGCGCGGGCGCGGGGGAGGGGGGCGCCGCGCGGCGCGGGAACACGGCCACGGCGCCCGAGCGGCCCGCGGCCGCCACGCACCACACCTCGTCGGGCTCCGCCACGTGCAGCACGGCGCGCCAGCAGTGCTGCGCCAGGTCGGGCGCCAGCGCGGCGGGCGCCAGCGCCGCCCCCGCCGCGCGCACCCACACCACGCGCACGTCGCGCCCGCACGCGCCGCACTCCAGACGCCAGCCGCCATTGGCGGGCTCCGCGCTCAGCGCCGTCGCCGTGGCGCCGCCTGCGACAACCTCTGTTGCACTCTCTGCCTCGCGCGACCCTCACTCGCCACAGCGTTGTTACTTACCGGTGACTTTGAGCGTGACTCGCTTGAGTTCCCTCAGCCGCATGAGGTCCGGCGCGCGCGCCCCCACGCACCTGTACTCGCCTCCCTCCTGGTACAGTGCGTCTTTGATACCTGCGAGGATAGCGAGCGTTACGACATTGTATGGTGTAGCACCTACCACTGCCCAGGCGGTGCCTCCTCACCTAGAACCCCGTGTGCGTGGTGCGAGCCTGCCGGCGCCCAGCTCTCGCTGGAGTTGCCGACGACGCGCCGCCACCAGCAGCCCACGCTCCCTGTACAAACACCAAACACCGTCACTGGTGGACTGCTGGCAGACCAGTCAAACGACTGAGCCGACGAGGAATACACTTCAAAATGATTGTGCATGATTGTGTGTGTGTTTATCGCTAAGTGTTGTGGTGTCTCACCTTTAGGGCAGTGTAGCTGCACGTTCCCACCGAGTGGGACCTCCACTTTCTGATGGTCGGGCTCCTCGGGCTCCGCCTCCGGCTCGGTGGCAGTCTCCGTGTTCTCCTCGGCCGCTGCAGGCCACACACATTCGTTATATTGTCTGCTACAGGAGTGGTGCAGTGGAAGCTGTAGAGGTGCAGTGATGGTACTCACACATGACGTTGAGGTAGTACCCGATGGAGGAGTACTCGGTGTCGAGCCAAGTGGCGCGGCACCGGTACCAGCCGGCGTGGGAGGGGCGCAGCGCCCCCCAGCGCAGCGTGGCGGAGCCCCGCGCGCCCTCGTCGCCCGCCTCCAGCGGCGGCGGGGAGCTACACACACATCTACTCAAATTGGGCCAAACAAACGTTGATACACGCAGTATTGTAAACATTTCAATAACAACAACAACAACAACAAAACCGAGAGAGAGAGAGAGAGAGAGGGTCAGTGGAACCCATTGTGATAATGCAAGCTGCGCTTGGAGAAAGAAGATTACGTGTAGGGATAGTTAATGGTACCTCGTAGGGTTGGCGTCGTCCCGCAGCCACCATGCGCGCGCGGGGGGGTTGGCGTCCACGTCGCAGCGCAGCGCGGCCGCCCCCCCCGCCGACAGCGACACTCCGAACCCCGGCCACCGGGAGATCACGAACGACGGCGGGTCTGTACACACACACAATGAATACACACTCACATGCACAGCACACACTCATCGCTACGTACACTAAAACATCGCATCACAGTAAATGTACTAGGAAGTGTTACTGCGCGCTCCCGCGGGAGCGATCCAAGCTCACGGAGCGACCGGAGAGATACATTTATTCATTTATTGTGGAATTCATGTGTTTCGTATTTCAATTGTAAAACAAGTTTATTCAGAAAACTACAAGAATATTATAAAACGTGCGATTGTACGTGAAGAAGTTAGGATGGTGTCTGTCTACACAATATTACATTATCACACTTATAACTCACACGTCACGTGTATCTCTAACTTTGCGCTGAGTAGGTGGGTGGAGGCAGCGCTGGGGCTGGCTGGGGCGGCAGGACCAGCGGGGGCAGCAGGGGCGGCGGGGGCAGCGGGGGCGGCGGGGCCCGGCCTGGAGGGGGGCGTGCGCTGGCGCGCGTCGCACTGCAGCGTGGCGTTGTGCAGCTCGCGCGCCGCCGTCACCACGGCGTGCGACACCGACACGCCCTCTGTCGGACACACGCTACGTACACACCTCGCCACGCGACCCCACACACTAGCGCTACGCGTCGCCAGCCGACTCACCGATGGAGTAGTTGGTGTGGTGTATGCGCAGGTAGGGCCGGTGGTCCAGCGCCGGCTCCAGCGCCAGCAGCCGCCACGACAGCTCAGGGGGGGGCACGCCGCCTGCACAGTACTACCAGTCAATACCTGCTGCACGTCACGTGCCGTGGAGCTGGGACGGGATCGTTGAGTACCTTCAGCCACGCAGCGCACCTCCAGCTCAGTCTTGTCTCTGACGGGCACCCAGGTGTTGCCCGCGTCCAGGCGCCGCCCGTCCACCGCCAGGTACACGGCGCGCACCGGCTCTGTACACCCACACTGTATCAGCACTTGCCACTCGCCACCAGAGCTCGCCTCGCATGCCATGCACCACTCACCATATATGAGCAGCTTGGTGGGTTTGCCGGAGACAGTCTTCCCCGTGTGGTCGCTGTAAAGGCAGCGCCAGGCGGCGGCGTCCCCGCGCGTGGCGCGGCCCACTACGAGCGCGCCCCCCTCCCGCCACACGCCCTCGCCCCCCGCGGGCGCGCCCCCGCTCCGCGCCGCCACCAGCTCGCCGTCCTTGTACCAGCGCACGTCGCTGCCGTTGCTGACGTCACACTCGATGCGCGCGCGCGCATGCGCCTCCACCAGTAGCTCGCGCTCGTACTTCGGCACCTGCAGCCCGCACTCTATACACACACTGCCCGCCTCTATACACTACTACGCATACTTTCTGCCAATGATATATAAAACTATAGATACGTTGTCCGCGCTCTAAAATGACAACATGAAATGAAGGCAATTGACAACATCGCGCTTAGTTACGCACCAACCTGCCGCGCGACGCTACGTTTGTTTTTAATTTATATCGTGTGTGTAAACCTGTGCGAAACATCAAGAAAGCATGTCGTCGTGTGTGTTCAGACAATGTACAAATTATACTCCAAAAGTTAAAGACAAAAATGTGTCATTTCATGCGTAAGTTCACCAAACAACCTATTTTTATTTTATTTTTTTCGACGCCGGCGCCTGCCATCTTATGGCGGCCGGCGCATGAAGGTATAGTCACGTGCCCTCGGCATAACTGAAGATGTATATTTATCTCCCTCTAGCAAAGGCATTCCACTATACGATGTCATATTTTCTTTCCCTTTCTTTACTCGTAGAAGTAGTTATCTAGTATTTTCGCCGTTTTTAAGCGCCGCGATGTTAGTTCATGACGTGTCTATATATAATACGTCATTGCTTTCTGCCTGATTTCTGATGTTGGATCCGAAAATGAGTGCTGACTTATGCTGCAATAGGATAAAGACTGTATAGGAATGACAACAATGAGGCGGTTTGACTGCACACAGTGAAGACAGAAGGAGCAGTGTGAACAAATATGTAAGTGTGTGTGAGTACTTGGTGGTGTACGTGTGGCGCGGGCTGGTCGTGCTGCGGCTTGCGCTGCTGCTGCGCCTGCGCAGGACGGATGACGAAGGTGTCGAGGCGAGACGAGGCGCGCGGACCGGGCGCGGCTCCCGCGTCGCCGATGGCGTCCCGCACCGCACCGCGGATGTTCAGGATCGTATCGCCCGTTTTTACGCGCCGCTCCGGCACGTGAGCCTGCACCAGACCAAGTACATTAGCTGACTCTTCATCAGGCTAACGTGTTGTGGCGAAGGTAGACCAGAGTCTACTTAAGCCCCAAATAATGAGCACAGGGGCTGGCCACTACATTCACTACAATCCGTTGAACAACGTTTTAGCTATGACCAGCGACAACATATCCACGCATGCACATCTATAATTTTCTCACTTTGGGCGCTCTCTCCCAGTCCTGTGCGCTAGCTCGCTTGCTCCTGGCGGCGTCAGCATGCTCCGTGTCGCCGCAGGGCGTGCTGGTGGGGGTGGCGCTGGTCGTGTCGGCCGCGTCGTCCCGCAGCGCGGGGTACAGCGGCGCGTCCTGCACGACGTGTGCGGCCTCCGAGCTCGACCATGAGCTCGCACTTGACAAGGGAAAGCCTGTGGAACAGAGCACACGAAATGTTCCTGCAGCAACAAAAGGACAAGAGGGGGGAGCTCCCGTGTCCGCTTTTCTCAACACATTGAGCCAAAAGCAGAAAAGGAGCGCTTGATTTGAATTCAGTACTTCACTTACATAAATAAAACTGAAATTGGCCAGCTTTGAGTTGGACGGGGTATATAATATATTTCGTTGTAGTGCGGATTTCTTGATGTTACAGGCTGACACATGACTTTTTGTTTTTTTTATGTAAATCGTTGCCCCACGCTAGGACTTTCTCCTTTGAACTCATTAGGAGAGAATTATATCCAAAACTCTATATGAAACCAATTAACGTGGTTGCGTATAGTTGGTCTATACATTTATGGGTACCCTATACTTATATATAAATAATATTGGAGTGTCTATAGTATTGAAAAACATAAAAAAAGCATGAATATGGTCGAATTGAGAACCATTCCTCCTTTTTGGAAGTCGTTTAAAAATATCAAAAATACCACTTTCTACAAAATTGACTGTTCTGGGTCTTTGTAATGGCTATTCTTATTTTCACCGGGCTTTTATTGGTACGCAACAATCTAAATTTCTAATTCATAAATTTAAAATTTCTGTCAACTTTGTTCTTTGTATTTCACACCAGCGTCGCTCCCATACAGTCCTGTATTGTTGTATTTTGTTGGGAACAACAAACGTATTATCGTTTAATACAAAAAGCCGGAAGATAAACGTGATGCATGGCTGTCCGAGTTACGGATGCTGAGCGATTAATACAAACAGGAAATAATAGGAGTGGAGGATGGGGGAGGGGAGAGGAGGAGAGGGCAGTGAAGTAACAAAACCGAGTAATTATTCAGAACAAGGTCACAACAGTCGGCATTCGGTCGCCGTACTGTGCTGTACCAAGCATGCTTGCCTGGCAAGTATCACAGAACGAGTGTTACAGAAATCAGTCAGCTGGTACGTGCCACTTCGCGTTCCCTGGTGATTCCATTATATTAATCGACATAAGCGCGACACGTTCACACAGTACCAAGTACAACTTTTACGCATCGACCCACACAGACTTAGAGTTACACGTCTGTGGCATTAGCACTGCGTCAGTGTGCGTGGCACAGCTAACGAGCGCGCACTCAGCGGACACTTGTCTCCGCCGACTCACGGCCATTAATTGCGGCGACGTGCGACCTGTGCCACTCTCCATCAGGCCCGGGAGCCTCCTAAACGATTCCGCCTAAACGGAGGAGTGGATTGTTGTTGATTACACAACACGAGGGACCTCACGTGGCGCGCCGGTGTCATTCAACACTGACAGGTCCAATATATCATTGAACGAAACATATTATCACTCTGTTGCAACTCACTTTAATGTGATACAGCTCTATGACTATGTACCTGTAATTGACAGCTATCTACGCCGTAGCAAGGGCATTGGCTACGTCGTAGCAACTACTACTACTACTACGCCGTAGTCTTTTTTTATAAAATCTAGATCTAGAGTGTTCAATGTACCTTCGTCCTGTCGACCGGAAGGAGATTATAAACATAATTCGCTCAATTAAAAACAAACATAGCTGCGGAGTGGACGATATCCCTCCAATCCTATTAAAACAATGCGCAGAAGAATTGTCTATCCCCCTTACATATTTAATTAATCAGAGTTTTCAAAATGGCCAATTTCCGACGCTTTAAAAATTTCTTTAGTCAAACCCATTCACAAAAAAGGCGACACAGACACTCCCAGTAACTACAAACCCATAGCCCTATTACCCACATTTTCCAAAATATTCGAAAACAATGTGTAACCGCCTATACAACTTTTTAGAAAAATTCAAAATCCTAGATGATTCCCAAAACGGATTCAGACGCTCAAGATCCACAACACTAGCTGTTTATAAATATGTGCAAACCGCCCTACAGCATATTAATGACAAGAAGTATGTAATTGGCGTCCTACTTGACATGACAAAGGCTTATGACAAAGTACTATATAACATACTTCTTGACAAACTACATGGCTCAGGCATTCGTGGTCCGGCTCACTCTTGGTTTAAATCTTACCTACAAAACAGATCCCAAATAGTCCAAATAGAAAACTATGACACAAAAACAAACGAAATAAAAACAACTCGATCACAAGAAATAAAAATAACATGTTCAATACCACAAGGTAGTGTCCTTGGATGTGTATTATTTTTAATTTATATAAATGATCTACCTAAAATTCTAAATAAAGATCTAACCCTGCCAGTGCTATTTGCAGATGATATATCTATTTTAATAAAATATAATAAATCAGAATTACCTTCACCTATCTTGCAAGAAACCTTGGAATCAGTAACACGATGGCTTAACGACCACAACTTAGAGATAAACTATACTAAAACAAAACCAATGCAATTTAGATCTTATCAAACAGCCCCCCTAAAAATAGACACCTCGTTTAGAAATATTACATTACAAAACGTAGACACATTTAACCTACTCGGAATAAACATAGACACTCATATAAATTGGAAAGCCCACATAGAACACATAAAATCGAAATTGTCAAAATTCACATACGCTCTTTTCCAAATTAAATGCAGTACTAATATCGAGACGGCACTGTCAGCTTACTTCGCATATGCGTCCTCGTGGTTGAGATACGGCATAATGCTGTGGGGCGACAGTGTTAACTTTAACGACCTATTCTTATTACAAAAAAAAATGCGTACGAATCATAGCACAAATAGATAATCAAGATAGCTGCAGACCCTATTTTATTAAATACAATATTCTAACACTACCATCAATATATATTTATGACATATGCAAGTTTGTATTTAAAAATAAAGATAACTTTACTAAAGTAAAAGACACCCATAATGTAAATACCCGACATAAAAACAGACTGTACCTACCACCATCTAGAATTAAAATGCTTAACCAAAGTCCTTACTACATGGCAGTCAAAATATTCAATAGATTACCGAAAGACTTTCAAAACGAAAGGAAGGAAATAATATTTGAGAGGAAATTAAAAAAACTCTTAATACAAAAATGTTTCTACTCAACCAAAGAATTCTTCGAAGGAAAATAGAACACCAACATTAATGTTAAATCCCACCTCATATACACACAAACACCTACCTACTAACTCAATTAACAACTTATTTTTTTTATTTTTTATTTATCTAATTCTTAACTTTTTTGTTTTTTTTTTTCTCTTATATACAATGTGATGTAAATTAAGTAATTTAATATTATTTTATAAGCTAGTAATAACCCTCTTTGCAACGCCTGAAAAAGGCCGTTAAGCTGTGCCTGCTATTTTAATTTAAGATCCTTTTACCCACCTTAACATGCAAATAAAGAATTTGAATTTGAATTTGAAAAGATACGTTAGCTACAGGTTAATGGGTGCTAACAATAAAGTGACAAAAACAACACTTTTATTTGAATTTCTTTGAGATCGATATGTAATTTCACGCCAAATACAATTGTTTAAAAAAATGCTATAAATATTCATAAAATATTTATAATCAATTGAAAGTGAAGTTTAAATCTTTTATTTTTGACCGAGGAAACAGCAACCGATAAAAAAGCTGAAGTACATAGTTACAATAACACTATTGTAACTATGTATGGGCGACGTACCAAATCCGCGCGCGCATTTAAATAAGAATTTTGTGAAATCAAACTTTATTTCAGAGAAAGTCTGTAGAGCAAGTACCTGACACTTAACCTAAAACAAGTGTACAATGGCCACCAGGTCATATTATTATGTCCAAGACCGGCCCTCATTATACTGGCCTCGTGCGTGCCGTACCGAACTCGTGTTCGGCTATTTGTTTTTGTGTTATATTATTTGTATAATCTAACAATAAAAAAATATAAAACATAGCTGCGTAATTACAAAATAAGTAAAATAAAAAAAATAAAACCATAACTGAACTCTCACACTTAACCACAAATTTTAACACTATTAATAGTAGTAACTGTATGGAATATTAGTCAGTGTACAGGTTGATGTAGTGTGACCGCTCGCGGTGTTGTTGTGACGCGACATTGTTGCAGACGTCAACACACGTCGCGTGGCGACACAGTGCGACTCGGCGACAGTAGCGCCCCCTGTCTGCCGGCGCACACAATTAGCCCCGGCTTGAAAAGAGCTCGCTCTCTCGCCTGAGCGCCACGCGCCGCGTCGCTCGAGTAGTCTTTGTGGAATTACTTGTTACACAAATTGCGAGAGTGTTTTGTTGTTCACTCGCTTGCCGCGGCCGACGCCAACGTTTGCCACACAAACTCATTCTTACACCAACATTTGCCAATAACTCCATACGTTTCCAAAGATGCCTCAGCATACAAGGACTACGTGGATAGCGAATTAAAACCAATATTCCAAGCAATGCATTGTTTCGACTTGTATTGATAACAAACACTGACAGCAACGCTAACTGTTCCCATGTACCGTACACTCACACACACACACACAGACTGCCTGCAGTGTGCGGTGCAGGAGCGAGCGGCGCCGCGCCACGTGTGTAGTATTGATCGCAGCTCGTCTACACATCCATCAATGTAACGATGTGTCGCCCGCGCCGGGACTAGACGCGTTTCACATCCATTGCAGGCTGATAGTGAGTGCCGGGACGGAGGGTGTGTGCTCAGCCTACGATGAATGTGTAACAATACACCACAAAGTTCGACTTCGACTAGTTGTAGTTTACGAGTGGTAAGAACTTTGATGCCCCCCCCCCCTCCCCTTCTTTGTCCTGCTGCAAATCCGGATGGAGTGTGGTCTTTACTTCACATTCTGGTGACGTCGCACCGCAAGCCATCTCGGACGCTGATCCCGATGTAATGTTAAATCTGTGCGTCGTCTCTACAAACTGCGATATTAAAATTCTGGCCACGCTTCCCCCTCCCCCCCCCCCCTCCGCAGTACAATGCGGGTGTCGTTCGCTCAGAGGGAACGGACGGGCGACCGACGTGCGCATCTATCTAAAGTGGCGGCTTGATGTAATCTTAAGAGGTCACAGCGCGACGTCCGCCACCATGTGTGTGTGTGTGTGTGCGCCGACCCCGCGAACTGATCAGCTGTTCCGACGTGTAATGACTGTCAACGTGGGAACAATGTTTAGGATTGCGCTGTGGAAAATGTCGGTACCATCTTGGCTGTATACTCACAACACATTATTGTAAAGGCGAAATCAGTTCCTCTCTGTGTGTGTCACAGACATAATCACAAGCGAGAGGTCAAGCAGCAGTGGCTGTGGCAGCAGGCGAGCGGCTTAATTAGTTCCTTCATTAAAACTCAGCCTTTCACAAACACGTAGCGACATCTGGCGATGTACCTACAATATACAGCGGTGCTCATATGATTAGGAACGAGTCTACAAAAAGCTTTCTATTTCAACTTGGAATAATTGACTGCACGGTTGGAGCAGTGCCTAATATTTATGGTTGTATGTTTGAGAAGTGGAACTGGTCACTAATTTTTTTAAATTTCTTCAATTGATATTGTATACACGTACAGTTTGCAAGACCATGCGTGTTTTTCAAATAAAATGTATAATTTAGAGAAAATCTTTAATATTTTATAGTGAACGCTCTGTAACATAAATAATTATTCACATAGTTTTAACGCCATTTTGACGATGGAAAAGTCAAAAAGAAACATTTTTATTGACAATTGTTACATAAAAACTACGTAAATAATTTAAAGTTGTGATAAATCTACGAGGAAAGTGCTATAAAGTAAAACTTGTCGATGAGGATTAGTCATGACAAACGATCTATTGTCTGCAGTGCCTCAAAGCAATACAATTCCAAGCTGTGAAGTGTTAAAGCATGTATGTACGTACGAACAAGTCCAAATATGTCAGAGAATTTTATAAAGATAATAAAGATATCGTGTTAAAATATCTTTCAGTAGAAAAAATAATATTTTGCCAAAAACTATTTAGCAACGTCTGCTCATACTCACCCGAGGCGTTTGGTGGTAGCTAAGTGCGTAAGTCTAACAGAAGCGCAGCAAGCAAGGTATCCATTTGTAGGAACATTGTTATAAGGAGACCCGACTTGCTCGTCAGGTGGTATTAAACCAATACAAATAATATTGTATTGGTCGACGCGTCCCCAATACAAGTATTTGACCCCAAATATAGAAAACAAAGTATACATGGTGGAGGGAAAGGTAAAAAATCCAGGGGCGCTCTTCTGGTCAAGGTGTTCGATGTTTGAACAGAACGGCACATGGACCGATTCCTATATAGGATACATATGTATAAAAGTACACTAATACACATTGCGGTTAAGAACTTCCTCACATCTCCATCAACAAAAACCACCAAACAATTAAGACTTATATTCTAGAAAGGACAACACAGTTACATTTGCTCTTGACAAAAAATAGAAAATTTTATTGAGTGTTCAAAAAGTGTGAAAAATCTTAAAGTTAACAAGAATAATTTGCTTGGTTCATTGCATTGTTTTTATGTATACGATCTTGTTTAAGTATATTTTCAAAATTCAAGTCAGTACTGAAGTATCTGAGCTCTTTAACATGCTTTCTGAATGATTTGTCTGACTGAGTTACCATTTGAAGCTGTAACTGTCAATGTAACTGTATAACTGTATTATTAATCCCCTCTCAATCCAGTATACTCTATTCCTGAATCTGTGTCATAATATAATTAATTAGGTTTGGGAAAACTACAAAATAAAAATATTAGGTTCTTGAACAAAGAAACATCACATCGCACCAAAACGATACTAGCGAAATTTGCCAACCAAGGACCTGATGGTAAGCAACCGGCGCCGCCCATGGACATTTGTTATACCAAAGGATTCCCGGACTTTTTTAGGTTATTAATTATTTGTTAAGAATTAAGAATTGGCGGTGTATATTGGACGTCCGGTAACCTCACTCACACGACGAAACACATCGTAAATGTTGTTCATTCCGGTATCCTGTGAGGCCGTGGTATGACTCCGTTCGACTCACACTTACTCGTTAAGAAACAAAAATATCGGCTATGCTATCAAAAATTCCGCAATCAGTGTATGTAGGTCAATAAGTTCGAATCGGATCGAATCCGCGAAAAGTTTTTTTTAATAAATAATATTTTGACATTGTCAAATGAATAGAGTTTTATTATTATTTTAGATCCAAATAGTATGGGGGCCCAAAATTGTGTAGTCAATCAAGCATCGCAGGGATGCACTGGATTTTGATGATTTGATAATTGAAGGAACAAATGGTTTAACGACATTGAAATTTTCGTTAAATTCAAATGTATGGTAGTAGACAGTGTGCTTAGTGCTAATTCAAACCTAGACCTTCCTAGACCAGAGGGTTATCATCGTCCCATAAACAAAGTCGGATGCGTTAGTGTGTGTGTCTGTAGGCGACATGCGGTATGTACCGTGTCACCAGTGAGTGACGTCACCGCGCAGCGCTCTTCACAATCGCGCTCCATGTCAAACACGCACTTGACCGACACTACATGTCGCGTGCTGTGTGTCTGTGTGTCACCTCGCTACGATATTCTAGTCCGCAATACCACAATTTTGTATGAGACAGGTCGGCAAACGAGCACACGGATTACCTGACGGTAAGCAATCGGCGCCGCCCATGCACACCCGCAACGAAAAAGGAGTTGCGAGTGCGTTGCCGGCCTTTTGGGATAAGGGTTTCGGATATTTAAGGATTGGGAAAGGATGGGGGAGGAAAAGGGATCGGGCCTCCGGTAACCTTCTCGATTATATCCTCTCGCCGTCAAGCGGCATCGAACTCGGCAAATCTGTCTGGGCAGAAGCTTCAGAGTGGGGTGGATTTACGGTTTATATTATACGGATTTATTTATTTAACGGACCCCAAAACCTCACCCACATTTATCTGTTTCATTTAATATAATGGGAGTTCCTGAATATACCAAGAGTAACCTTCGTCCATCGCATCGCATTAGTGAAATTAAAGGGAATGGAGCAAGCAGTGTTAATGTCAACATCTGCATAGTAATGACGCAAACATGACACACGGAACCAACACTAGAGCGACGACACAATCCTTTTTTTATATTGTCGGGGGAAAATCATCGAAGAACTTCTCCCGACCAGGGCAAGGCGAGAGAGTGTCAGACTTTTAGTGGCTAAAACCCAACCGTTCCTTCTCCTGATTTAGACCGTGGACGCGGTGCCTCATTGGGCTTTCCTCGCAAGATGTCATACCCCTGCAGAAGATTCTGTGCCATATCGTTCGTCATCAGCTCGTTTCTTCCACCTCCCCCCCTCCACGCGTTACGTGATGTCCCCTACTGATTACCATTGATGACATTATCATCCCTCATTAGCGATACTTGTCTCTCCGCCCAAACGACTTCATTAACATTTTTATCATCCTATAACTTTCCTTACAAAACAAAATCAACTTTACACATAAATAATAAGTGCGGTAAGCATATTGTGACGCGAATAGAGTGCAGTCTACTAGTGTGCTGAGTACGGACACATATTTTCAAATTACGAAATAATTTTCAATGTTCAGCAAAACTAAACCAGAACATTACGCATAGTACATGAGGGTTATAACCAATACTTTCAGTCGCATACTATAAAATGCACACGACTCAATGTTATATTGACGCGTGATGTAGCAAGTGCTACGCCGTAGCGCTCGTAGCAATTACTTTTGGTACCAGCTATGCTACGAAAAATCATGATGTAGGGGGTAAAGCTCACAGTAACTGAGCAAGTACTTGAGCAAGTTTTACTGCCACACCAGTGAGCTGGCCGAGCTGTACGATACATTCAACGCCGTATATACTGCGAGACTGCAGGCTGCAGCCGTGTTTGTGTGTTTGTGTTTGTGCAGAGACAGTGGTCGCCTGCAGATCGATACACACGAGCGCTGAGTGAAGCACGCTCTGCATACACTCTTAACACTCTGCTTTCTTATACCACAGCTTAGGAATAGCGAGATGATCTACGTTGTGACAGTTTGAGCATTTGCGCACCCCACCCAAATGTTCTTTTGATCGATATTGTTCGTCGGACAACTCAGCAACACCCATTAGTTGAACTAGTTGCAAACTGACACTTGTGTGCCTTTCTTCAAGGTGGATCTTCTTAAACTAGTGTGGTGCTTTCCTCAAAAGACCGCTGCAGATGAACTTGCACGGTTCTCACATATTATATTATTTTTTACATAGTCTGAACTTTATAAGAGACGGACCTCTGAGTTTGTTTCGGCATTTCCGATACAAAATGCCAGCTGCATCTAGTTTTTAGATAGAAGTGATGTTTTATGGCCTATTTACAAAAATAGTAGCACTCGTCACCGTAATCGATTATTATTATGGCATATATTTGGACGGCACATGCGTGGCCGGGGTTGGAACAAAATTTCTTAGCCGGTTTTAGCCGTCAGCGTCGAGATGTAAGCCAAGGTTTTTTGACACTAAGTCCGACTTATGTATTTGTTTTCTATTGAATTTCAGCAGGTTATTGTAACAGTAAATAATTATATTTCTGTTATGACCTATAACTGCTGCTTACCAACGCTATATTCACTTATTTCCTATCAAGTAGAGGCAATCAGTGAGGAGCCACGGCACGGGCACAGCCGGTAGGCGAAGTGTTGGCGTACAATATTCGCAGCTACAAATTTTGATGCGAAGATTATCTGTACAACGACCCATCCATGCTCAGCGCACCACACCCCGCGCCCCCAATCCCAGCGCTCCCGCGTTCGCTTCCAAGTTAAACTGATGTCACATCAGTTTCGCGCTCACACACACACACACACACACACACACACACACACACACACACACACACACACACACACACACACATACACGCGCGTGCCAAAGGTCGAGGAGTGTAACACTAAAGTTCAATAGACTAATTTGAAAACTGAGCCAACATCAAGCAGCTAATTTATTCTTACACACATCCAACTATTACTAGGGCGACATTCACGAATACTTATTTCTCATGTAAATAAAGTTATTTTATATTATGGAGTTATCTGTTACAAGACCCCATCTTTTATTATACTATTTGTGAGAAACTTACTAACAAGTAACGTAGGTTAAACATATGTATTTAAATTCTCGAATTACCTCACACTATAATCTAAACGATAATCTATCACAGTGATGATGAACGGTTGAAACTACGATCTTCGACCCCGACCCGTGTCATATATCTGTTAAATATTGACACGTTTTAAGCCTGGCAAGCAATGTTAAGAACAGCAGCGGTCTTTAGTGGTTATTTTGACAATTTGACACGATTAAATGTCGACTGCAATAGTTGAATATTCGCAAGGAAATGACAAGTCTAACCTTCTGCGCAGCGGCTGCATAGTGACGGGCCGGCGCGCGGCGCTCGGGTATAAAGCCGCGGAGTCGCGATGTGCCGCCTCCTATGCTAATGCAGGCCTTAGGGAATACTTATGTTGCGTACTCCAAAATAGCGGAAATCTCAACGCCACGTTTTATCGCAAATCGTATTGAGCTCCGATCGATGGCGACCTCTTTATTTCAGCGGCCGAGTTAAATGAATTCCGAGAGTTTGTGACAGAACATGCGTGTGTGCGTAAGGTTGCAGCCCACGGGACTCACAGGCATTCGCTTGGTATTATATGTTTTCTAGCACAGATATAATAACGTGTAATTTGGTTTTCTCCCCACGGAAAATGTTTGAGCATTAATCACCACAGCTGCAGTCGTTTTGGTGATTTCTTTAATACTGACTATACTCACACGATAACCGTCCACAGACTCGGTAATAGAAGTTAATGTACACTAGGAGCTCGAGTCGCAGCTCGCACTGCCAGAGTACTAGCCAGGCAGACAATCTCTGCGTCAGACAATAAACCGGGTGAAAGTGCTCCCTCGGGGGGAAACAATAAATAGCGACACGAGCTCCATCTCGTGGGCTTACTGTAAATCTTTTAAAATGAAATCTCTCCATTAATTTGATGGCGAGAGATAACTCGGATTATAGGATCGCGCCGCTCCAGTGTTGGGGCTGGATCACACAGCCCGGCGTTACTATATGTATATACTTTACTTAATTGCTAACTACTTACCAGCGAGGAATGTGAAGTAAAGGAGTGTGTAGAGAAGGGTGCGCGTGCGCCGCACGGGGAGTGGCCGTGCTGCGCTCGGCCTATGAGCGTGCAGCATGCTGGGGGCGGGGGGAGCGAGCGAGACAGAAGGTCGGCGGCGAGCGCGGCTCGCGCGCTGCGCTCATCTCCACGGACGAAGCATCTGCAACAAACGTTGCTTACTGTTTCCAGTTATAATGTATAATCTATGCTCGCTGCTTGCTGCCGCGCGAGCAAATGTGTATATGTTGTCGACGTGTTCACACTAGTTCATCACGTCCTAGCGATACACATCCCTCCAACAATTCGGATAATTCGTGCCGTAGTTGTATAACCTAACCAGCACATCCTATACTCTTAGTTCGATGTAGAGCACTGCAATCTCCGTGAGTGCGAACGATCGTTGCACCATGTATTGTGTCCCCGGGCGTGACCTAGCAGATGATGTGATGGTTGTGGGTTTAATAAGAGTAACGATGGAGTTTCTAGCTCGTTCTTCTCCACTCGAATGTACAATTTGGAACGAGCACCTAGCTTCACTGACGAACAGACTGACAGACTATTATTATATTTTGACGTTTCAAAAGTAACTATTTATGGTTTAGTTGGAATAAATGGTTTTGATTTTGACTTTGTCCTAGCGATAAAGTCAAAGTCAAATAATAAATAGACCACTATAGGCACTTTTGAATCTCAATCAAAAAATTAATATCAAAAAGTTTAACCTTATATGTCAGTCTGTCGGTTTGTCCTCTAGTCAATCTATTTGCTAATTCCAAAGTGTAGATTCCAGTGGGGAGGAACGAGCTAGAAACTCCATGGTCAGTTTTTTCAATAATTCGTTTTGGTTTCATCAATCAGTCGCTTCTTATGTGAGAACAGTGTAACATTAACACTTAGTTAGGTATTAGTTGAATATTCAATAAAAGCATCAGAAATAGAAAATAACCTCAAGAACAAATATTCAGACAAACTCTGCTAATATTAGTTTCTATACCGAATCAACCAAGTACCGTAACGTTGGCAGCTCTCTACACTTGGACAATGTGTAGTGCACCTTCTGTAGAGCCTGCATCATGCAATCTCTGGGCCGCGGGGTGGGGTGCGGGGAGCGGGGAGTCAGGGGGATGATCGTATTTCTCGGGATCGAGTGGAAGGAAGTTTTTAGCGAGCTTCCTGTGCGGGCCGCGGCTCCGGCGGGCAACAAACTACGCGCGGAAGTGTCGCAATATATTGCTCGCCCGACATTGCCTCTACTTATTGATATTCCTTCATTGTCCTCCAGACACTGCAGGCTCGTCCTCGAGAACAGCTTGGTTACTACAGTTGATATTGAAAACAAAGTATTTATCTTCTGGGGTTAAGGGCCCGTTCCTGTACGTACCACTAATGAGGGGAAAATTTATTTTAAGCACAGATCGGACTTCTGTCCGTTATATTGTAATCTGTTCTCACATCATCGAAACCACCAACTTAATAATGTACCAAAATCTGTATGTAAAACTGATTTAAAAAGAGTAACCATAGAGTTTCTTTCTCGTTTTTCCCCTCCGAATCTACACTTTGGAACGAGCAAATAGCTTCACTAAGCGTACTGACCGTCAGACAGACACTTTATATCTTTAAGTTTTGTTTGCCGTTCAAAAGTGTCTGTAAGGGTCTTATTGAAATAAATGATATTGACTTTTTTAATTGAACTAACTGTTTTATTAGCACACTTTTAAATATAAAACTATAAGAAGAATTGCCTTTTCGTAACCTTTCCACACCCCCATTCTCGCACAAAGAGATTTCATACCTTCGACTTCGACTTCGACTACACATCATGTAATGGGCAAACTGACTATTGCTGCGTATTGCGACGACGCTATCGACATCAGTAATGATAAACAAGAAAAATGAGAACAAAATGCTTTCAGAGAATTTGCAGGGCAGTTGGCACCGGTGGCTGTAGTGAGAGCAAGTTACACGTATATTCTCTTTTAGTTCTTCCACCATCAAACGGTGTGACATGATTAGAAACCCCGAGGGTGAAGGGGGCTAGGTGAGGGGGCGTGACTTGCCATTGATAAATGTCAGCAACAAACGCGCTCAAGAAAAATGTCCAGCAATAAGAAGTTGCGACAAGGCACAGGGCACGCCTCGGCTGCGGATATTACGAATTTATCGTTCTACTTTGACCAGCTTTATGTTGTGGACCAACTTTTGTTACATATTTGACACTTTATTTTGTGCCCCCCCCCCCTCCTCCTACTCCAAAACCAATACTAGCCGGTCGCCCTCATTAGCGCACTGCTACACCTGTATCTATATCTAAGAAACGTCGACTGCAGGAATAATTCAATAACTCAGTGTTTAGCTGAGTTCAGTCATTGATTTAGTGATCGTCAGCAAGCACTGCTTGGGCTTTGTGCTTATAATAGTGTGGGAAATGTGATAGGAAGTAATTTAAGATATTTTATTAGTTCACAGAATGTGCGAAAAAGTTGAGAAGTGAACCAATACAATGCGTAACTTTGAACAAGTCCTATATTATACAACATGAAGAATAGTAAACACCAATTGTCATTTGGCAAAATGTATAATATCTACTAGCTGACCCGGCTTAGTTCGTACCGCCTTAGCATAAATTTGATGCACTACTTAGTTTTGTATCTACAATGTAGATGACAATGAATGTCGTGGTGGCCTGGAGGTTAAGGAGCCCGCTTCTCATGCATGAGGGTGTGGGTTCGAAACCTGGCAAGTACCAATGTGACTTTTTCCGAGTTATATGTACTTTCTATGATTATTTAGACACCACTGTCATACGATGAAGGAAAACATCGTGAGGAAACCTGGACTTATAATTTCTAATTGTAAGTTTGAAATCGCCAACCCGCATTGAGCCAGCGTGGTGATTAATGCTCAAACCTTCTCCTTGTGAGAAGAGGCCTTTGCTCAGCAGTGGGGCACTTATAGGCTGATGATGATGATGAGATGACAATGCTTTCCGTACGTATATTATTTGAACATTCTGTAAGTGTTTACGTCACTGAATTCTTTCTAAAATGCTGGTGTGAATATAGGGTACTTATATTTTCACACTTCATCATCATCAGCCTATAAGTGCCCACTGCTGACCAAAGGCCTCTTCTCATACGGAGAAGGTTACAGCATTAATCACCACGCTTGCTCAATGCGGGTTGGCGATTTCAATTTTATGATTATAAATTATAAGTCCAGGTTTCCTCACGATGTTTTCCTTCACCGTATGTCAGTGGTGTCTAAATAATCATAGAAAGTATACAACTCGGAAAACGTCACATTGGTACTTGCCAGGTTTCGAACCCACACCCATATGCATGAAAAGCGGTCTCCTTAACCTCCGGGCCACTGCGACACCATGTTGTTTCCTAACCAAGCAAACCCAGGCACAGAACTACAATTAATTGCTCCGTGCGGGAGCACACCACTCTAGGAAGCCGTTTGCGGCCTATCAATTGTATTAATTATTTAGTTCGCCAATTTTTTATGGGGTCTGTATGAGGCGGCAAACTGGCAAGTGAATCATTTGATAGTAAGCAATCGAAGATAATTTTGTGTCGTGTAACCTCACTCATACGACGAAACACAACGCTTCACGCCGGCTTTCTGTGAGGCAGTGATACCACGCCGGTCGAGCCAACTCATTCGTGCCGAAGTATGACTCTCCAACACGTAAAGTTCTGGCTAAGGAGCAGCTACAACTTGTTTCTTTATTATGGAATAGGACGGCAACCAGCCAACGGATTAGATGAAAGTAACAATCGACGCCACTCATGAATGCCAAGAGTTACTAAAAGTGCGTTGCCAGCATTTTCTTAGTTGTTAGGGATTTAAGGATAGGGATTTGGAATATTAAACATGGTGGACAGTTTGGGCCTCGAGTGACCTCACTTACACCGCGAATGAAGTGTTGTGTTACGCTGGTGTTCTGTGCGGCCGTGGTATCACTCCAGTCGAGATGCCACATGTTTGCCGGATCATGGTTCTCTCATAGTTTTTATTATAAATGTTTACTACGGATCGCAAAATAGAACAATCTTAACAGATAAAGTAAAGAACAGGACGCACACAGATCAGCCTAAGTGGTAAAATTACGCATTGTACCAGTTAGGCTAACTGCATACGTAATTAGCGACGCGGAGGCACGACGTCGGCTGCACAGCCAGCGTGTACTGGTCACGCTAGTTAGCAGACAATCTGTCGAGGCTGTCTCCTGCTTTGTAGCAGCAGCACAATGCTTAATGAACGCTGTTGTTCTGTCGCCACCGATGTGAGTCAGGGTCGCGAGTGGCGGGCCTCCTCTCTGAATAACTTATGTTAATATCACACGTCACGTGTGGCACTCGGTGACACTGACACTGGGAGCGCGACAGACACAGGGGGACGCGGGCCACCACACCATCCACAGAGCTCTGAGGGAACTAAGGTCAGCAGACTCGCCACTCGATTCATTCTATAAACATATATATAACTTGCCCCGCATTACGAGTATTTTCAAGCAGGCTTCTAAAAGCAATATTTACAAGGCGTCACTTTTGAACGCATAACAAGAAAACAAAGTAACAATGTTTACGTTTGTCTGTCCTTTACTGATGTTATTACGTAAATTTATGAACTACACTTCGACACACTAGTTCTAGAACTAAGTTTATGGCGACCAACTTACAAGAGCTGAACAATCTAACCTCAGACATCCCAGCATCAAGGTATAGTTCCTATCTGAGGTACTGAAGGAAGAACTGTCCGGGACAAGTGTTTACAACTAACGAAGACACTACTAGCTAACGTGGAACATGTGGTGGCCGAGCTGTGGCGTATGCAACGTGTGATGTATCACTGGAGCACTGTGTTGTCGACTGAGAACACTCACCGAGTCGGGACACGAAGCCGCACAACACTAACACACACACGCGGCACGTCTTCCCTGGTCGGGCGCCGCGACCAAACTGCTGCCCCGCGTGCCGACCCCTGCCACCCTGCGCCCCCTCCCGACCCGCGCCCCGCGCCCCGCACCCCCGCGACAAGCCACGCAACGCACAAAGAGGGGATCAGCCGCTCCCGATACCGACGATATTCATCCGACAACCGGCGACACCATCGATATGCAGCATACGATCTAACGCCACGAACAGAAAACTTGACAAACGGAGCATCGCCGCGGGAGCAACTAGTAGACACCCTGTATAGTGCACCGACTTGTGTAACGTAATGAGCGTGAACATTGTGACCTCCACGCACACATACACACGATGCATTGTCCTGTGTACACACGACCTCTGTCCACGGCCACGCACTTCACAACTCCTCGCTGATCTAAATTTCTGTAACGGCATTGATACACTTACGACCATCTGTCTACTTCTGGACAACCACTTATCTGGCTATTTACGGTGATGTAACGGGAAATTAGTTTCATGTACCTAGGTTTACCTAATTGAAAAAAAATGGAAAAGAAAAAGAAAACACTAAAATATGGGAAGCAAACCCAAAATTACAAGAATTCAACATTGTCATGAGCAACCGACAAAGGGGCCCATTACCAAGGAGCTGACACAGTTGATCATTCCACTGTGTTCAGCTACAAGTATGGCAGGGTCACACTCAGGGCCAAGTGTATTCTGCAGATTGGAGACGGCCAGACGCGGCCATAGAACCGTCTCTGTGTATGAATGGAGCAGCGGTGGCTGCATTGTGATGGTAATGCGGCGGCGCTGCACGTATAAAGGCGCGCGCGGCCTGCTCCGGCCAGTCACCGCCGACATGTGGCGCCCTCTACACCTGCTGCTGCTGCTGCCGGCGCTGCTGATACTCGTGAGTGTCGCGCTCACTGCACACTGCTCGACCTGCTCTGTGCAGTAACTGCCTCAGTTGCCGCTTTATTGTCAATTTAAGAATATAGTATATACAGCCTTTAAACCTCAAAAAGGTCGGCAACGCACTCGTAACTCCTCTGGTGTTACGGGTGTCCAAAGGCGGCGCCGATTGCTTACCATCAAGTAACGCGTTGTGTTCGTTTGCCGACCTAACACATAAAAAGATGTCGTTTAGTATAAATGTACAAAAACAAAACGCTAACGACATACTTTTACAATGAGCGTAATGTTTTAGTATCACGTTAAGCAGGATCGCGTCGAAGGTGTGAGCCATCGTTTTACATATGAAAGCGTGGCCATAGTGTGCACGTCTTGACCTACATCAATAGTTTCTGATTTATAGATGTTAGGAAGTATATGTCACCTGTGATAGTTGAGTGTTCCCACTGAGCAGTACTACCTATATATGCGAGTCAGTGTCCCAAGCCATGTTGCTGGTCTCTGTGATGTGTTGCTTGTCCGCAGTGGAGCGGCTGCAGCGAGGCCGCGCCCTTCCTCAACCTGCTCGGCCTGCTCGCCAGGTGAGTGCCGTGCAAACTTGTTGTAAGTTATTTCGAGTACCAAACGTGTAGGGAACAATAAAAACACGTCTGGGATACAATAAATCATTTCGTTCCATTCATTTTCTGACAAGTCTCGTGCTATGCTTTATCCATATTCGTTCCTAACGTTCCCTCACGCTGACTCCGGTTGTACCCTAATAATAAAATGTTCCGTGTCATAAATTAATTGAAATCCTGTTCCGTGCAGTGGCAGCACTAACAGCTCGGGCCTGCTGGAGACGTTGCTGCTGTCTCACCTGCAGAAGAAGATCAACGCGCTCAACGTGCTCGAGGACTTCATCGCCATCGCCGCCAACATCACCGGTACCTGACCGCCCTCCGCCTTCCGCCCTCCCCAGCGCGACCTCAGCGCCCTCGCTGCAGCTGCTAACATTCTGTTCTGTTGCATGTACAGGGTGAGAGCCAGCGCTCGCCGCCAGCCACCGCCCGCTGCCGCCTGTGACACGGACCACTTATTTATGATAGTGATATGTTTTGTAAATAAATAGTTTCTACTGAACACTTGTTTCTCTTTTATTAGAAGGTAGAAAAATAACAACAAACATTTCACAATGTCGTCATCATCTCTTCATCATAAGACCTTGAATGATAATCGCACCTTATCTAAATTGTGGACGAGCCAAGCATCGTCACGAAGGTGTCGGCTGGACCGGACTTATACCACGGCCTCACAGAAAAGCGGCGGTAAATTATCACAGCGTTGTGTTTCACCGTATGAGTGAGGTTACCAGATTTATCCACTCCCTACTCCCTAAATCTCCAAAATTCTATTCGCTAGTGTTGCAGGCGTATATGTGCGGCTCAGTTTGCATTAGCAGAGCATTAGATGTATCAGCCAGCTCGCTCGCTGACCTACGACATAAAAATATCTAGATGTAAAATTGCCATCAATATAAATTACTCTCGCTCAAACCTGGATGTAGTCATTGGTAATCTTTAACCGTTGAGGAATTAGGAGGAATAGTTATCGAACGATATAATCAACTTGTGATATCTTAGTTTAGTATTTTGTGTTTGGGGTTTTTTGGGCTTGGGAATGTGCAGTGCTAAGACAACAGACAGCATGTGTGTTAAGACAACAGAACATACCATCATATATAATGTTAGTAGTAAGGTATATTCTGGCAAAAAAAAACTCATATCTAATGTTGTTACACAGGCTCAGGGGCAGCACAATTTAATCTTATTTTATATTAATATTCAGGGCTGCTCCTCTAAAATATTTGAAATAGAAATGTTTCTTGAGAAAACACAATTTGATATAGTTTGTTTAGCAGAACATTGGTTGAAAGAGGACCAATTAATATCTTTCAATTTTGAAAATTATACTGTAATAAGTAATTTTAGTAGAAAAAATATGTTACACGGCGGGTCCTTAATTTTAGTTAAAAATGGCATTAAGTCCAAAGAAAGGAAAGATATTGTAGCACTGTCAGTTGAACACACTATTGAGTTGTCCTGTGTTGAGCTGGATAGACATGTTGTTGTTTGTGTATATAGACCACCTAATTATCAGAATCTTGCATTGTTTGATTCTGTAATGGAAGATGTTTTGAGAAAAGTATGTTCTAGCCATAAATCAGTACTTGTATGTGGCGATTTTAATATTAATTTATTGGAGAACAATACAAGTGGCATGGAGCTATTAAATTTGTTTGAATCATTTAATTTAAAAAATGCTTTTCTAGAACCGACTAGGATAACACCCTCCACAGCCACATGTATTGATAACATTTTTAGTAACTGCAACTATTTAGAAAAAAAAGTTATAAACAGTTTACCTTCTGACCACAGTGGTCTTGTGGTTACTTACAGCTCTTATTTGCCTCTTCAAAAAATTCAAATAAAGTTTAGACATATAACAAATAAAAATTTAGAGAAACTTAATGATTCATTAGCATCTAAATTAAGTATAGAAAATTTTGATGTAAGTAATCCAAGCAGGTTATACGAAAAATTTTTTACGGTGTTAAATAGGGAATTTCAAGATATTTTGCCAATGAAATATAAAGACGTCTATGCTAAGTTTCAGTTTAGCGATTGGGCTACCGCAGGTATTCGTAAGAGTAGAGATAAACTTTTTGAACTTTATGGCATGAAACCATACAATTGCGACCCTCTTTTTCATCAACATGTAAAATTGTACTCAAAGACATTTAGAATAGTATGCAAAACCGCAAAGCGTCTTTTCATCAGTAATAAAATAAAATCAGCTGAAGATAAGATAAAGGCTACGTGGAAAATAATACAGAATGAGACAGGTAGGAATAAATTAAAACATTCGGCTAAACAAAATTTAAATACAGAGAGGGGACAGATTTCGTCAAGCACAGATGTAGCTCAGGAGTTTGAGACTTTTTTTGCTAATATACCTGTCAAAACAACGGCTCAATTAAAATCATCGGCCAGACTATCGGCAACTTTGCTTAGAGAAAATGTTAAATCATGCGAATGCGACTTTAGTTTTCATTATACTAGTCCTTTAGAGATAATAAAGGTTTTTAAAGAAATCAAGGTCAAATCAACTGAGGACCTTTGGGGACTATCCGTGAAAGTCTGCGGATCACTTATCCGAACTTTAGCGCCGTATCTGGTTTTTGATTTTCAATAAAAGTATAGATGACGGTGTCTTCCCAAACCTAATGAAATACAGTAAAGTTATTCCATTATTCAAAAATGGTGACACTAAGGAACCAAACAACTATAGGCCTGTGTCTGTTCTGCCGGTTCTTAGCAAAGTGTTCGAAAAGTTAATGCTATCTCGGATGCTTCATCACTTTGATAAACATGCCATCTTCCATCACCAACAATACGGTTTCACTAAAGGTCGTTGTACAACTGACGCCGGTGTCACGTTGATAAAGGAAGTACTCGGTGCTTGGGAGGAAGCACAGGATGCTGTTGGTGTCTTTTGCGACCTCTCAAAAGCGTTCGATTGCGTTGATCATGAAACACTCTTGCTGAAATTAGATCATTACGGGATTAGACATACTGCACTCCGTCTACTAAAATCATATTTAGAGGATAGGCAGCTGAGAGTTCATGTAGGTGGTTATAACTCACAGGGCTCTGAGATAAGAATGGGCGTTCCACAGGGTTCAATATTGGGTCCGTTTCTCTTTTTAGTGTATGTTAATGACTTGCCATTTTTATTTAAAGCTGAGCCAAGTATGGTGCTGTTTGCTGATGATACATCATTAATTTTTAAAATAGGTCGACGTTCTAATAATTTTAACGAAGTAAACAGCTCCATTCATCAAGTTCATAATTGGTTTACAGTCAATAATTTAGCACTTAACGAGAAAAAAACAAAATGTATTAAATTTAGCTTGCCCAACGTACACAGTAATGATTGTAGCATAATTTTAAATGGGCAAAAGTTAGAATTTGTCAACGAGACAGTGTTTCTAGGTATCACACTAGACAATAGACTTCAATGGGGTTCCCACATAAAGACGCTTTCGGGGAGACTAAGCTCTGCTGTTTTTGCAGTTAGACAGATAAGACAGCTCACAGACGTGAAAACAGCAAGGCTTGTCTATTTTAGCTATTTTCACAGCATTATGTCATACGGAATTTTGCTGTGGGGTCGAGCTGCGGAAGTAGAATCAATATTTATTCTACAAAAGCGGGCTATCCGAGCGATATATAACTTGCCCCGTCGCGAATCTCTGAGAGAACTAATTAAAACGATAAATATCCTGATGGTGCCTTGTCAGTTTATATATGAAAATATTATGTATGTAAGGAAAAATTTGCAATTATTTGAAAAAAGAAGCGATAGACATAATTTTAATACAAGAGGCAAAGATAGGCTGGCTGTGCCACGATTCCGTCTGTCCAAGGTACAGAAATCCTTTATGGGGTTCTGTGTAAATTGTTACAATAAAATTCCAAGTACTGTATTGAATCTTAACGAACGAAAATTTAAAACTTATATTAAACGTGAATTGTGTAGACAGGCATACTACAAACTTTCAGATTATATTGAGGATAAGAATGCCTGGCAGCATGTTGATTCGGCTCCACTGGACAATACTCAAATATAGTCAGCACTTAGGTAAAATTCTCATAAATAATGCACCCTTAATTTATATATCCAAAAAGTTTATATAGAAGCACTCTTAAAGATTGTGAGTACGCATATGTGAGCGCCATGTTCGAGACGACAAAGGAGTAAAATTTTATGATAGGTCATTTGTTCTTCTTTTTTAACAACTTGTCTCTGCATTGTTCTCACATAAGGGTACACTAATGTATACTATAAATGTTATATTATTGAAATTGTAAAACAATTTTTAAAAAAAAAAGAGTAACGAATGGAGTTTCTTGCTCGTTCTTCTCCATTCGAATCTACAATTTGGAATGAGCACTTTGCTTCACTGACGAACAGACTGACAGACTACTTTTCTATTTTGACGTTTCAAAAGTACCTATTGATGGTTTAGTTGGAATAAATGATTTTGACTTTGACTTTGACTTTGCAAATTTGTTAGAAATAATAAATAACTCTACACTACCTGCGAAAACACACATACTCATTACACACTACGACACAAACACAATATAAAATAATATAAGCTAAAAAGTTTGCGCGCTAATAAACACGGACTGTGTATCCCAACGTCCAACTGTCGGCCGCTAGGCGCGATCACCTCGCCTGGCCGGAGGAGGATCCTCCTTTTCTGAACTGTACACTCTGTTCCCGAAACCTCCTTTTTTGGAAGTCGGTCAAAAATACTACAAGTGTACTACTAATACTAGAAGTACCACCGTATCCTTTCATAACTATTGACAATCAGGTCCTGCGTTATTATGACAGTAATACTTACATTCCAAGTCTGCTTATACTAATCCACTCTGCAGTATGGTAATCCCGCATGAATTTATTGTAAGGCTGTTGTATGATCAGAGTGATACAACAGCCTTACAATAAACCGGTATCAAAATCCACAGGGTTGGGTTGCGGGGCAAGCACAATGAGGCACCGTGGCTTCGGCCCAGAGCAGAGCAGGAGAAGGAACGGGAGGGTTTAGTCAGTAATAGTCTGACACTCCCTCCCGCTCGACCCTGGCTGGCAGAAGTCTTTGGATGATATTCCCCTCACAATTTCACCGCTCCCCTCCCAGCCTCGATCCCCAGTAGGTCGGCAGCGCACTCGAAGCTTCTCTGGTATTGGGGGTGACCATGTAAACCACGATGATAGCACGTAAAAAAACTGACAATGTTATTCCATTACATATGATGGTTAATGAAATCAACAGTCACAGATAAACGGAAAAAATCCGACTGAAATGAAATGTACTGAAACAGTAGTCAGCGCTACGACGACGCGGGAGTTATGTATACATAGTTCAAGCAACAAGTTATACACTCTTACACTATCAGCAAAAAATATTTCTTCACACGTTTTACAGCCGAGTCTTATTACCCTATGGCGAATTGCAGCTGCAGCGACGGACATAGATCGAAGACAGTATTCCACGGATGACGTTACAAATCCTACATTAACCAAGTTAAGTTTGCGCGCGAATATAATACTCATAAAAAATCCCAACTGGGAAAGGTTGGCAAACGTGCAGATGGATGGTATGCAATCAGGGCCGTCTTTGGCCACACCAACTCCAAAGGAGTTATTATTTTATAAGTGCGTTTCCGGCCTTTTGGGGGATAAGGATTCCGGATATTTAAGGATTAGGAAGGGATGGGGAGAGGGGGAGGGACTGGGCCTGCCTCCGATAACCATGAATCCTTGTTTTCCTATCTTAGAGAACTTTACTCCCTGTTCCATAAACAACCAATATTCTGCGTAAGGACAGCTCCACGAGAAAAGGACCTTCAACAACTTCGGTCGTGTCAATATACCTGTATGTAGGCACCGCTGTACAGGTGAGTGGTGACACTGCGTGTGCCGTGTGGTGTCACATGCTGTGTGTAGCCGGCGTCACGAGTGGCGGCATTGTGTCTGTTGGTGCATTGTGATGCTAATGCAGGCGGAGTATACATACAGGCGCGCGCGCCCTGCTCCAACCAGTCGCCGCCAGTCGCCGCCAGTCGCCGCCAGTCGCCGCCAGTCGCCGCCAGTCGCCGCCAGTCGCCGCCAGTCGCCGCCAGTCGCCGCCATGTGGCGCCCCCTGCACGTGCTGCTGCTGCTACCTGCCCTGCTTCTCGTGAGTGCTGGCTGACATATGTACGAGTATATGCATGACTTATGTACGCGTGTGTTTTATGTTTCACCCTTCTGTGTGGTGTTTGTTTTCAGTGGAGCAGCTCAGCGGAGGCAGGCCCACTGTTCGAGTCTCTGAGTCTCCTCCCCAGGTGAGGCCCTCACTATCCAGCTCATTACAAAGGTAGTGATTACAAATGGTGCGGTATTATATTCAATTGATTATTTTCTCTAGCGACGACCCAGAATATGAAGCGTTACTGATGCGGTGCTGCGCTGTGTTTAATAATTAAATGTAGACAATATCTCACATCCCAGCCAGCACCCGCCGGGACAACACTCATGTTACTACCAATAATTTAGGGGAGGCTCTTACTGACTAAACAGCAGCCCGTTTCTTCTCCTGCTCGGAGCCGAGGTAAACCATTAGGCTTCTACCCGCAAGCCGCGCACCCCAGCTGGACAGTAATCCTGGTGGGCCACACCAGGTCGTGCGTGAACTCGATACTCACATATGGCTCAGGCTACCAAAGGTGAGAGATCGTCGTGGAATCTCCGATGCCCGGAGTAACTCTGAGCAACTCATAGCTGAATGGGGAGATGGCTTCCAAGCTCTTTTCGCTCGGCACCATTGCTAGGATCTAGGCCGAACTGAGGACAGAGCGGTGCTCAGCCCACCACCATTGTATACTCCACCTCTAGGTGGTCTTTGCAACGACGACATCTGGGACTTTCACAGGCGGAAGCTGAGAGCGCAGTAGCGCTTCTTTAGCCAGGTTTCATATAACAGCGAGCCCGATTGAACTAATACGATTACATGAACATCCATTACTGAAGCATTCTTCGGTACAATCCGCGGCCACTGTACAGTGTGTACGTGCTTGCAGCGCTAGCAACGTGTCGGAGCACCTGCAGCACCAGCTCGCCGCGCTGGAGCTGCTCGCCGGCCTCGCCAGCCTCGCCGCCGACACCGCCGGCGCTGGTCAGTCAACTTTATAGATAACACTATCCATGCATCGTGGATTGTCTTTTTTGCTCACACTCTAAGACAACGAAACTAGTTCACGGAAGCATCATATCCAGACCCGAAATAACAATTTTTCGTGCAGTAATCTAACACGTGACACATTCCACTTTAATGCTGCTGTGTACAACAAGTGCGAAGTAGAACTATGCATCGACCAATAAACTGTATATTTGTGAAACATCATTACACTGACACCCCATCCACCTGCAATGACCTTAGGTCAGAACTAATCTCATACGTAACCATTATGACGTTCCAGGCTAAATGTACACGGCGCACAGCTCTCACCGCGGCGCTCGCGTGATACGAAGTCACTGCACTAGTATACATCATGGTCACACGATGTATGTCGTGCCTGCATTATGTTGCGTTATGTAAATAAATAATTATTCATTAGCATCATTGTTTCATTCAATTCTGTCAGAGGACAATTAATGATAGATTGCAGATGTCCCATAGAACCCCATAGGTTCTTATTAAACTCTTTGGCAGAAACACACGCACATTAATATGACACTTTTGTAAGATGACAAATTGGATATAACAAAAAAAAAAAATGAACCATAAAACGCTTGTTTACATAGTTCGTGCATTCAGACTGCTGAGTCTGTATAATTAGGTTTTTTTTTGTTTTTGCCAAGTGAAAATCTTCAAATGACTTCTGTCGAGACACGAGAGACTAGGATAAGGCTGCGAGAGAGTGTCAGACTCTTACTGACTACGAAACCCCCGTTCCTTCTCCTGCTTTAGGTCGTGGCCAACATGTATGTGAGTGGCAGTTGCCCCTGCCAAGTCTCGAGCAAGATGGGCACGGCCGTACTATACTTTTCTCGAAGCGTTTTGCGGCTATTTCACCACCCTTGTATCATCAATACGGGCAAAGCTAAGGATTTAGGATTTCAATGGCCTAGAGTAGGTAAGTATTAAAACAAGCTCAGCCTCAAAACAACATGACATTTAAACTAATAGTTAACAAGTTATGGGCCATCAAAGTTAAACCATTTTGTCACTCACTGACTCACTGACAGATCATCAAAATTCTAAGGTACTTCTAGCAAAACTTAGAAATTTCATATTTGGCACCAAGATAGGTTTTTAGCTGCATGTAAAGGAAAAATTATAAAAATAGTACATTTTAGTATTTTTTTTTATTTCTTTAAATAATTAGGGACTTTTTAGCGCACAGCGTATGTCAGTCCCATCGTACCCTAACACAAGTTACATTTAAACGAGATCAATGGATCAGGGCCATAAAGTCGAACAACCTCCACGCATCATCAGAATTCGGTCTGCTTAAAATATGATGGAATGTACCTATATCGTTCTTATTCAACTTTAAAGCCCTGAACAACTTACCCCTATCAGCCTCATTCCGAACACATTCCATCAACAAATGATGCATGTCTTCTACTACTCCACACATCTCACAGTTGGGAGAGGATAACTTTTTCATCATGCAAGCAATAGGAATTTGTTACATGGAATATGTCCCGATCTGAGTCTGTGGGCTGTCACTACTAGTTTTCTGCTTATGTTACTATTTATAAACCAGGGTATCCGGGGAGGCTGACACAGAATGCTTTTATACCAAATCCCTTTCACTAATGAATTTCTATCAAAATATTCCTTCCACTGATCATAACAAACATTTTTAAATTTTGGTAATATCTCGAAATAGTCAAGAGTAATGTTGGTTGGTTTTCCGTGTTTGGCTGCACTTTTTGCTAACATATCAGCTTGCTCGTTACCCCGTATTCCAATATGTGATGGGACCCATTGCAACCTCAGCTGAACACCTTTTTGATTCAGTTCGTCTATCTTAGATAGAATGGCATAAGCTATCGAGGCACCTCTGAGGCCAGAGGCGCATCGAGCTATATGCTGTAGGGAACATTTACTGTCGGTACAAATAACAGTATTTCTGTTTTGACAAAAAAAAAAAACAGAAATACATTTTAGTAAATAATAAGAAACAAACTTATATTTGCGGTTTTCCACCAACATGATGTATGTATGTTGACTGCATTGTTAACTTTTTTCTTTGTTTATGTACCAAAAATAAAACAAATCGATTAATGTTATTAATTTCTAATAATGTATTGAATATGCCTATCAATATATTTATGAACATGTAATTCACGCTCATAAAAAACAAAGCTTATTTAAGAAGTATAGTGATATACATAATATTAACACGAGGGGGAAAAACAAATATGTTGTCCCTGCCTCCAGGCTTCAGAAAATAAGTAGTTCGATTCGAAATTCCTAGCGATATTCAAAATTTTAGCCTCAATAAATTTAAAAATGTAATAAATTCATTAAACATTACTGTAAAGCATTTTATAAAATAAAAGACTACTTAGAAGATAGTCAGGCTTGGGAATGAGCCGCTGTAACGTCTGCACAGGTCATGTTGACATGTTTGTAACATAATGTGGCGGAAAAGTGGTTCAAACTCTTTGACATCATGACGTTAATGGATGGTTGTCAAACGTTGCCTAGAGATTGTAAATTTCGTCGTGAATTGTCAATACGAGTTGGTGTAATTGGTAAGGCGTGTGGATTACACCACAGATACCCCGAGTTCGAGTCCCGCCGTAAACATGAAGTTTTTTAGTTGATGGAAGTTTTGTCGAACTTTCTGGAATTATTGGTGTGAAATAAATGAAAAATTAAAGAGCGAGAAGGAGAATAAATTAAAATGAATAACGAAATTATTGGAAGGTTCTGGAGTCATGACGATCAAAAAGAATAACGAAATTGAATGTTCCAGAACTTGACCGGGGGTATATAAGCGGAACTGCGGCTCACCGCTGGCAGTTGAGTTCTAAGTCTAAAGCGATTCGGAAGAAAAGGAAGAAGTGAAAAAGAAGAAAAGTGAGTGAAATAGTGAAGTGCAATGAAATAGTGAAGTGCAGTCAGTTAAGTGAGTTAAGTCAGCGTGAACGGCAAAGTTGTGTCAGTCGGCCGGACTCTGTTGGAGAGGAACGCCGATAACTTAACTCCGTGGACGCTGTAACTTAAGTGCAATAGAAAGTCTGAAAACCGGTATTAGTGTTTCATTTCATCCAATCCCGTAACCCAAGCCCGCATAGTCAGGAACGTGACGAGGCACGTAACATTTGGTGTCAGAAGTGGGATTAGAGAAAAATGCCGCTAGTGCCGCAGGACGTAAGAGGAGTGAGTACCCGTTCAATGTCAGAAGCGCAGCGTGTGAGGGAAGAGGGTGCTGCAGCTCAAACCAGCGATGCAGAAGCCAAGCCTGTGCAGATGGATCTTCTGCTACAGCTGCAGCAAATGATGGCAGAGCAAGCGCGCCGCCAAGAAGAGCAAGCGCGCCGCCAAGAAGAGCAAGCACGCTGTCAGGCAGAACAGCTTCGGGAGCAAGCACGCTGTCAGGCAGAACAGCTTCGGGAGCAAGCACGCTGTCAGGCGGAACAGCTACGGGAGCTGAAAGAAGATCAAGCTCGCCGCCAAGAGGAGCAAGCGCGTCGCTTGGAAGAGATGCATAAGGATTTCACGAAGGGACTGCAAAAGGCTGTCGAACGGGTACAAGAAGTGGAGGAAGGGTTAGGCAAGTTGGAACATCGCGTCATGGCGATAGAGGAGAGAGTGAAAGAAGAGATCTCCAAAATCAAGCAGGAAGTGACAAGCCCAAGCCCTTTGAAGAGCCGAAGCCGTCTTGCAGCCGTTTTTGACGATCCAAATGTGGCCTCAAGCGCAACGAAAGGGCTCAAGATTTCCCATTACGACGGAACAACATCCTGGAACGCGTTCAAGCTACAGTTTGAGACACTGATGGAGGCTTATGGTTGGACTCAGAAGGAAGCACAGTCAGCCCTCACCCTGGCCCTCCGTGATCAAGCGCTCTCAGTGCTGGAAGCTATCGGCGCAAGTGGGGATCTCAGCTTTAGTGCCCTCCTCGACGCACTTGAGGCACGTTTTGGAGACAGCCACCTCGAACACGTGTACAGAGCGCAATTAAAAGAGCGTACTCAGCGTGCTAATGAGAGTCTACAGCAATGGTCCGTGGAAATCGAGAAACTTGTGCGTCGAGCTTTCCGGTCGACTCCGTCAATGATTGAAGGCACGCTTCTCCAAGCGTTCATTGACGGTATTCGGGACCCCGAAGTACGAGCTGCTGTTCATCTGGGCCATCACAAGAACATGAAAGAAGCTCTGGCCCATGCATTGGAAGTGGAAGCCGTGCGTGGCAACTCCCGTACCTTACGTCTGCGGGAAATGACGACAACGGAGCAGGTACCTCCACGCCGTCGGAACTTCATGTGCTATGGATGTGGAGAGCGTGGGCACATACGGAGCGACTGCCCGAAGAAGATGAACCGCAAGGACGCGGCGGTCTCAACTTCTGACCAGCAGGGAAACTTAAATCCAGCCAAGGCTGCGGGGTGGGCGCTGGCTGGTAGTGGAATAACCCCAACAATCTACATCAAGCAAACTAACGATGGAAATACCCTGGTGATAGACGGTCAAGTAAATGGGAAAAACAGTCAGCTAACATTAGATACTGGAGCTTCAAGGACGGTGATAAATGTTCGGCTGCTCGAGCAAAACATCAGGAAACACCTTAAACCAATTGTTGGCCTACAAATGAAATCAGCTACCGGCCAGTGCATACCAATAAGTGGAAAACTGCATGTAACAATCAAAATTGGGGAACGTGTTTATCGACATGAGGTTATTGTGGCCAAAATTCTGGATGACTGCATCCTGGGACTTGACTTCCTGCAAGAGCACCAGTGTAACATCGACTTAAAATCTGGAGTTTTACTATGTGGAACTGAGGAAATTCCGATGAAGGGTGGAACCCTGGGAAAAGTTTGCTGTGTAAGAAGAACTGTTCTTGCACCAAAATCACAGACTCTCGTACCAATTGCATTACCTAGGAGGAGGGAAGGAAGTTTACCTCGAAGGTGCGCTGTGATTGATAAATCGGAACACGTAAACTCATGGCTACCGGCAAGAACTGTCGTGGGGTCATCTGATGTCAACCGCATTCCGGTATTCAACTTCAGTGATTCAAAAATTACGATTGAAGAAGGAGAGCCTGTGGGCGTATTGGAAGAAGTGGCCTGGATAAGAAAATGCTCGGAGAATCTTGTGAAGAAGGACAGTACGGGAATTGACTTTGTAACGAAAATCTTAGACGAAACAAAAGTCTGACAAAAGTGGAGACTATGAAAGCTAGAAATTTACTTCTTCGATTCTCTGATGTGTTTTCAAGAAGCGATGGTGATATTGGCCGAACTGGTTTGGTGAAGCATAAAATAAACACAGGTGATACAATGCCAATTCGTCAAAGGCCCAGACGCATACCATTCGCTCGTGAGAAAGAGGTTGAACAAATGATTGACGATATGAGGAAAAATGACGTGATAGAGCCCTCTTCTAGCCCTTGGTGTTCACCTGTCGTGCTTGTCAAGAAGAAAGATGGTTCAACGAGGTTTTGCGTAGACTATCGACGATTGAATGATGTAACCAAGAAGGATAGCTACCCGTTACCAAGAATCGATGACACACTTGACACACTGAGTGGCATGAAATGGTTTTCAACGCTCGATCTGAAAAGCGGCTATTGGCAGGTGGATTTGGATCCCAAGGACAAGGAAAAGACCGCATTCTCAACTGGGAAGGGACTCTGGCAATTTAAGGTGATGCCATTTGGATTATGCAATGCACCGGCAACCTTTGAGCGTTTGATGGAACAGGTGCTGGCGGGACTGCTGGGCGAAACCTGCCTAGTTTACCTCGATGACATCATCATTGTTGGACGGGATTTTGACGATCATCTAAGGAAATTGGAAAAGGTACTCGATAAGCTGCGTGGAGCAAATTTAAAGTTGAGTCCAAAGAAATGCTCTTTCTTCAAGCGCGAAGTGAATTATCTAGGACATGTTATTTCTGAGAGAGGAATTGAGACTGATCCAGCCAAGACTGCCGCTGTTAAGGAATGGCCGACACCTAAAGACAAAACGCAAGTTCGGGCATTTCTTGGATTGTGCTCGTATTATCGGCGGTTTGTGAAAGGATTCTCGGACATTGCCAAGCCTTTGCATCGATTGACAGAGGAAAACGTGCCTTTATCTGGGACGAGGATTGTGAGCAAGCCTTTCGAGAACTAAAAGAAGGGCTTTGTAACACACTAATTCTCGGATACCCCAGCGCGAAAGGAATATTCGTAGTAGATACGGATGCCAGCAATATCGGAATAGGAGGTGTCCTTTCACAACGCGATGGTGAGCAGGAGAAGGTTATTGCTTACTTCAGCAAGTCACTATCCAAGCCGGAGAGGAATTATTGCGTGACCAGGAGAGAATTGCTGGCCGTAGTCAAAACTCTGCACCATTTCAAGAAGTATTTACTGGGACGGAAATTTTTTATCAGAACTGATCACGCTGCTTTGAAATGGCTGCTTCAGTTTAAGGATCCTGAAGGCCAAGTAGCCAGATGGTTGGAACAACTTCAGAAATTTGACTTTAAAATCGAACATCGCGGCGGAAGAATTCATGGCAACGCAGATGCATTATCGAGACGCCCATGCGTGGAAGATTGCAAGCATTGTGCCAAGAAGGAAATTGCTTTTCTTAAGGTGATAAGGACTGATACTGTTGACGAGGCATGGGGAGATGATGCGATGAAATTAGAACAGGAAAGAGATGCGGATATCAAACCAATACTGGAGTGGCTACGAAGTGGTAACAAGCCAAGTTGGAGTGACGTCGCCCAATATAGCGCGGTAACGAAAGGTTTATGGGCACAGTGGAAAAGCCTTACGCTGCATAACGGACTTCTGTGCAGGAAATGGGAATCAACAAACGGCAAGGACGAGCATTTGCAATTGGTGGTGCCTCGTTCAAAAATAAGGGATGTATTAAAAGCGTTCCATGATGGATCTTCTGGAGGACATTTGGGAATTAGGAGGACTTTGGTGAAGATCAAGGAGAGGTTTTATTGGTTGCATTGCAAATATGACGTCGAAGATTGGTGCCGGAAATGCACTAGTTGTGCAGCTGTCAAGGGTCCACAAACAAGAAGCAGGGGGGCGATGAAAATCTACAATGTTGGTATGCCTTGGGAGAGAATAGCCTTAGACATCGCTGGACCATTTCCAATCACTGATTCGGGCAATCGCTACGTTTTAGTGGTTATGGATTATTTTACCAAACATTTGAGCGACACTTAGCAAAGGTGGTTGACAGCCATCAGAGAGATTGGGACACTTACATACCTCTCTTCTTGCTTGCCTATCGGACTGCTGTACATGAAAGTACCGCAAAGACGCCTGCATTTGCAAATTTTGGAAGGGAATTGAGATTACCGGCAGATCTTGTATCGGGCTGTCCACCTGGCGACACTCGCACCGAGTTTAGCGATTACATAACCGAGTTAAGGGCAAAAATGTTGGACATTTACGAGCAGATCAGGGAGGCCGGTCTTCAAGCTAGTGATCGCGCAAAAACGCGCTATGATCGACGAGCCAATTCTGTTGGGTTTGAAGAGGGGTCATTGGTTTGGCTTCATAATCCAGTCAGAAGGAAGGGAAAATCTCCGAAGCTGCAACCGAGTTGGGAAGGTCCTTATGAGATAGTCACGAAGATCAATGACATTACTTACAGAATTCGGAAGACTTCAAGGAGCCCTTTGAAAGTTGTCCATATAGACAGGTTGGCGAGGTATTACGGCACCAACGATGCTCGGGACGAGCGAATCTAAGAGGGGGGCAGTGTGGCGGAAAAGTGGTTCAAACTCTTTGACATCATGACGTCAATGGATGGTTGTCAAACGTTGCCTAGAGATTGTAAATTTCGTCGTGAATTGTCAATACGAGTTGGTGTAATTGGTAA